ATTTATCTACTTGCAATTTCTTGCTTTCGAACGTGCTAGGCTGGCAGGAGCTCACTCTGCCACACGGTGCCCCAAATGCTTCAAAAGGATACAAATGAAATCAACAGCAAAAGCTGGGAAGAACCTTGAGCCAGGAAGACCAGTTAAGATGGGTCCTCCACACACCTGTCCTCTGGCTGCCCATGTGCAACGCACCCCTGGCCATTCCACAAGGGCTGCTGCTCAGCCCCACACGTCTCTCCCCACCACCACCGCGGCCAGCGGACCTCCTTTCCTTGAGCGAGCAATTCAGACGCTCGAGACGAGAACTGCTAGGTTGGCAGGAGCTGGGGCCAAAGATGTGGCACTCTCAAGCTGCTGAACTACCGACCTTCCGGTCTGCAGTTCAGCGTCTTAACCATTGAGCCACCGCAGCCGTGTTTTAGGACTGCCTTTATAATCTGCCTTTCTCACACATTGGTGCAAGAATCTGAGTCACAGAGGACACTTCTTTTTTAAAAAAAGTAATCTCTCCTTATATATAATTGAATAGTGGGTGCCAAGGTTCTAATTCTAAAATGCACTCCCTTAGTGTATGGCTGATGGCACTGCTCCTCAGCATATATCGCCACCAATCAGAAGGCAAAGCCCGGGTCCCGCCCACACCACAACTGCTGCGACAACCTGGTCTTTTGCATATGGAAGCTGATTGGACTTCAGTCCATTCCACACCTCAAACTCCCCCCCCCCCGCAAGGCAGTTGGAATTTTCAGTTGCATAACATACCTCATAGGGGAGAGGAGAATGGGTAACAATGGTTACCACTCTTCAGGTGAGGGCTACAGATAACTCAAACATACAAATGCTCTTCAGGTAGCAGAGATCAGTCCCTCTGGAGAAAACAGTGGACTCTGTCATTAAACCCTGCTGAGGTCGCCAAAGGAAACTGACACTGTTTGCCCAAAGCCAGAGCACTCTCCCAGAGCCTCTTTCTAGATCCCGTTGTATTTATTTCCACAACGGGCATTATTTCTAGTCCAGCCATAAAGGAGCAGCAAGGTGAACTCACGTGTATCGTAGTAGTGCCCTTCCATTATGCTGATGTGCACGGGTGGAGCAGGCTCCGGGACGGGCCTCTGGCGCTGCGATGAGTAACGCTTTGCACGGCTCCCCTGGACTCCCTGGAGAAACACAACAGGGCTGGAGGGTCACATGGGCGGCTGCAAGGAGAGACCTCCCAGCCCACTGGCTTTCCGGCTACTTCGCATCTTATGTCCTGTTAAGCCAGGAGCTTCTGCAGAGCCCCCGGGAAAATCTGTGCTCACCATTAAAAAAGCAAGAAGGCCACAGTGGCACGGGCACTCCCCCATACAGGAACCTGAACAAAGTCCCCTGGCACCTTTAAGACCAACCAAGTTTTTTTCTGGGTATAACCGTTCATGTGCACACGAAAGCTTATACCCAGAATAAAACGTGGTTGGTCTTAAAGGTGGCCCAGGGGACTCAAACTTTGTTCCGCTGCTTCAGACCAACACGGCTGCCCCACCTGAATCCATCATACAAGAAGCTGCAGTTAAAGGCTTCGGAAGAGGAAGGTCAGGAGGCCCGGGTGAGGGTTTCGGCTGCAAGGATGTGCAGAGAAAGGAGAGCCAAGACCCGCTGCTGCAACGCACCTCTAATGCCAGCCCCCCCCCCCGTTATAGCCTCTGCCTGTTCTGTATTGTGTGCCAAAAAATGTCAGAGTCATTCAGAAACTGAGTCAAGATAAACCTGCAAGAGCCCGATGAGACTGAAACAAAATGATTGGTCCTAGCTTAGCTTCTCTCACTGTAGCGTGTGGGGACTGGTGAGTGATTCCACACTCCCTGCCTGCCTCCCCCCCCCCCACCTTGTCAGCAATTCAGAAACAGGCAGGAGACACGGGGAGTTTTTACCATCTCTTCCATCCGGTTGAACTGAGGAGGTGGGGCTGCTCCAATATGCATCTGATTCGGAATACCTATTGGGAAAAGGAAGGAGAGGGAAAAAGAAGAACACTGATTGCCATTCAAGCTTTAGAAGAAGAGGAGATTGGATTTATACCCTGCCCTTCACTACCCAAAGGAGTCTCAGAGCGGCTTACAAACTCCTTTCCCTTCCCCTCCCCACGACAAACACCCAGTGAGGTCAGTGGGGCTGAGAGAGCTCTGACAGAAATGGCTCTTTTTCAAGAACATCTGTGCCAGAAATATGGCTTGCCCAAGGTCATCCAGCCAGGTGCAAGTGGAGGAGTGGGGAATCAAACCCAGTTCTCCCAGATTAGAGTCCGCTCACTTAACCACTACACCAAACTGGCTCTTTATATATGTATACAGAGACAGACAGTGGGTTCAGGGGAATCCTTGGTAAAGAGATGAAAAATGTTATTCCACGCAGCCAGACATTACTTGTGAACCCAGGGAGAGAAGGGCAACCAGGGTTGGGAAGAAAGGCAGGTTCCTTTTTGTACTGCATACAGGAAGTAACACCTGACCAGGACTTCGTGATGACACCATGCAAAGAGACTAGTTTCTAATCTTTGCCACTTAGACACAGCAAGGCCACACTGCATTTCAACCCCATCTTACATCTTTCCCCGAGACGTTCATGTGCAAATAAGCAGGTAGTGTGGTAAAAGTGTTCCTGGGAGTGTACCCCTTCATATTAGCAAGCAAGAACCCAGCACAAATCCAGAAGAACCACAGGTTCTCAACGGGTTACGATTTCGTTCCACTCTCAGACTGCCTGCCAAGCTAGGCTTGAAAGTGCTGTTATGACCAGAATACTGATTTAAAGGCAGAGGGAACATAAGAGAAGCCAATGTTTGATCAGGCCAATGGCCCATCCAGCCCAATACTCTGTCACACAGTGGCCGAAAATACCAGGTCACGATCATGTTCAAGCGAGCAACTTGTTCAGCTGGAGAGACTCTTATCCAAGCGTCCTTTCAGCCTGCCACGGCAACTTCTAAATACAAACCAATTATTAACACACAAAGCTAAGCTTTGTGGGAAGCTGCAGATTAAACATCCTGGTTCCCAGACAATGAATGTGGGCTCGCGTGCATGGAAGACACCAAGAACCGGGCAGGAATGTGGCAGTGCAGAACAAAGCAGTTCTGCAGTGCCACATTCCTGCCCGGTTTTGACGGCTGGCTTCTGCAAACCTCAGGACTCGATCCCAACCTGCCAATGGGAAACAATTCAACCCACACAATAAACAAGGGAGATCCACCCAGTTGGGAGCCCTAAGCAGACTGCCTCCAATTCCCTCCCATTTAACATCTTCCTAGACGGAACAGGAGGCTGGCATACTTCGTCTACCTGCAAAGCTTCAAACAGAAGGGGAGAATCGGGTTCCACGGCCCCCTCACTCCCCATTTCCTTTTAAGAGAGTGTAAGAGAGTCCTGGGTCTCTACGCCTGAGCTCTAGGAAACATAATGGAGTCCTGATGAGCGGGGGAGACTCAAGTGGTGCCTCACTCTGCCAGGTGACCCGCTTGCTTTGCTGAGTGCCCTCTGCTCACCACGGCTCCCGGCAAACCCTTTAATGCCTCAGATTTTTTTTTTTTACGTGGACTGACCTAAGGCACGGGTCCCCAACATGGTGCCCGTGGGTGCCATTCTGCCCGCCGACACCTTTCCTGGAACCCACCAGGTGTTTTTAGAAAGTGGGTGGGCCCAGCAAGGCTTCTGGCTGACTGTGCTGATTTTAAAAAATGCTGCTTTGTCAGCAGCTGCCACCACAGCACAAGGGTCTTCGCGGTGTAGCGGAAGATAAGCTGCCGCCTGCAGCAGCTATTCTGCGGCAGCCATTTTGTGGCTGCCCCCACCACAATGTGTCAGAATTCCAAAGGTGTCTGTAGGCTCAAAAAGAAGAAGAAGAAATTGGATTTATACCCTTCCCCCCTTCACTCAGAGTCTCAGAGCAGCTTACAATCTCCTTTCCCTTCCCCTCCCCACAACAGACACCCTGTGAGAGCTCTGACAGAAACTGCTCTTTTCAAGGACAGCTCTGACAGAACTATGGCTTGCCCAAGGTCATCCAGCAGCTGCAAGTGGAGGAGTGGGTTATCAAACCCGGTTCTCCCAGGTTAGAGTCTGCGCACTTAACCACTACATCAAAAAGGTTGGGGACCCCTGACGTAAGGTCTGAGGCAAATGCATCCACAACCACTATGGATATTTAGGAAATGTAATTTATGTTTTTACGTAGGCAGACACTTGAATGAATCCATCAGACTCCAGGCCTATGTTTACAGCAATTATTTTAACCACTGTTTTGGTGGCGTGTGTGGCTTTACAGATGTCTTACAACTTAACCAGCATAGAGCTCACGTAAGTAAAATGAGTCCTCTCAAGCTGTGAGGCCTGAGCAGAGTATCTTCACGAGCCAAACTTTTTCAACAGTGCAAACTAAGCCTGAAAACTACAAACTGTCATGCCATGGCTTGCCTTGGGCGCATACAACTTTGTGCAGAGGTAATCTGCTTTGTTTTGAACATTCCAGAGTGGGTTGGACAAGAAAAAGGAGAAGCCCTGCTAGGAAAAACTGGCAGATGAAATCTCGCATGGCAACACCTGGATGGATAAGGGGGGTGGCAAAGGCCTGCCTGAAGGCCACCCTTAAAAAAAGAACACAAAAGCCTCACCAAGAATGACTAAATCCTGCCTATGAAATGAATTCTGCAAGGGTGTTGGCAGCTCTTCGGCTTCCAAAGGCTGATTTCGCAGACTCTCCCCCGCCACTTGAGGACTCTCAGCTGAAGGTGTGAAGGGCCCCACCGAAAAGCAACGCCAAACACCACAAAGGCTCCAGGCAGTGCTCTAATTAAAACAAATGAGTATGGACACAACTTTAGATGGAACAGAGAAGGTCCGCTGACCACCCCTAAGTCAATGGTAACTAATTTGCAAGGCCCACGGTTACTACTTTTCAAACCGTAAGAAACACAGACCCTGCACTCTAATACTGCCAATCCAATGCTGTGGAGTCTCGTGAGCAAAATTTCTACTTTGTGAGCTACTGGCATTAAAGTTGTGAGCAAGTGATTTGGCTCCTGCATAAATTAGTAGTTTGCTCTGAAGCCATCCCTTCCTGAGCTAAGACAAAAATGTGTGAGCCAGAGGCTACAAAACGGTGAGCTAGCTCACACTAACTCAGCTTATATGAAACACTGCCATCTCTGTTTACTTAACTTGTACTCTGCCTTTCTTCTCAATGGAGACCCAAAGCAGCTTATCCTCACAACAACCTTGTGAGGTAGGGTTAGGCTAAGAGTGTGTGGACTGGCCTTCCATGGCACAGTGCGGGATTTGAACCTGGGTCTCCCGGATCCTTGTCCTTAGCCATGGTGCCACACTGGCTCTCTTCTGGATTTTGTACAGACGCTACGACCCAGGTGTGGATTTCATTACAGAGGTGTCAACTCACGCCCCCACCATCTGAGAGACTAGAAGGCCCCTGGGATTGCAGGAGTTCACCCTCCTAGCAGGAGGAGACATTACTCTACTCACACCACCCTTCCAAACCTCGTGTTCTACGAATCCCAACTTTCCTGCTCCTTAAAACAATTGCAACCCAGCGCAAAGGACTTATATGCAGCTGTGTCTCTTTCCTCATGTTTGCATACAGTCCAGGGCTTGGCTTCAAGAGAACCATGCTTTGTGAGAGATCTGTTAACTCTCACGATGTGGAGACGGTGAGTTTTAGAAGTGCGGGCGAGAGTGTTCAGCGACAGCAACAGTGATGAGTACACAATGAAGAAGGTTTGATGTGAGAAATCCTCACCAACTCGGGTCCTACATGCTCTCCCAGAACATTTCTTTCCTCTCTGCCCCACTGTGGTCCACCCCTCAAATCAACTTATCCAGCCATCTGCGGCACTACAAAGAATCCTCCCCCCAAGAAGGAAGTTCTTGCAGGACAGCGTCTTCTACCAACCCTGGGACCCTCCTTCTCAGTTTTGCCGAAGCACAGGCACCTTCCCAGACCACCAACTCAGGCACACATTTAAGTGGCTGGAGATAAGAGATAAGCAACAGGTATTTTGCATGTTCTGAATTGGTATTCTAATTGTTGGGGAGTCCGCAACAGCATGGAAGCCTCTGGCTGCGAGGGCTTAATGCCACAGAGAAAAGGGTGAGCTGAAGTGTCTCTGGCTGTCCCTGGCTGAACTGCTCAACTCCCAGAAAAGAGAGGAAGGCAGACCAAAGGATCAAGGAAAAGAAGAGGCAGAAGATAGGCCTGGATTGGCAAGCGACAAAGACACACCCAGCTCTCAGGGAAGGGGGAGGGTCAGAGAAAGCTAGAGAGAAAAATCTGAAAAGAGAGGGAAAACCAAGAGAAAGGACGAGATGAGGATCATGCACTGATCTCAAACCGCCAGCCAAACCTTTGGCGAAAGGCCTCTAGTATGCAGTAATCTTTTTTTAAAAGTTACCTCCCCACCCAGGCCGCGAACCTCCCAAACCTCTTTGTATGGGTGGGAAATAAATTTAAGGCAAGGAAAGCTGTTCCCTGTTCCCCCTTCCCCCGTGTTTCGGGACATCTACCAGCTGCTCACCCTGCGGCTGTATGAACTGGGGCTGCCCTTGGTTCCAGTTTTGTTCCGTTATATTCAGCTGGGTCATGTCCTGCTCCAGGTCGTCTAGACTGGCTTCGACAGGCACTTCCCAGTTCTCAGTCTTCGCTGGCGAAGAGGATGGCATCACCTCTGCAGTTTTCAGTGGTGCGGGAGTGAACCCGGACGGAGGTGGGATCTCATCCGCCAATTTCCCCGTCTCGCCTGCTTTGGTCCGGCTCCTTCTTGCCCGGGAATAGGACTTCTTCTCTACGGGCTTATCGGGAGGAGGCTGCAGAGTGTCCGCAGGAGCTGTTGGGCTTTCTGGAAGAACCTCTTCCTTTTTAACAGGGCTGCTGCGAACGTGCATGACCTCTGGCTCGGGAGAAGGGTCTCGTGCTGGGACGGGCTCCGAGCGCCGGGCCCAGTAATTGCTCTCGTGCTTGGAGTGCTCGCTGAAACGCGGCGCATGCTGGCTGCTCGCATCCACGGCACGGTAGCTCGGCCGGGTCTCTTTGTAGCCGCCGGGCCTCGGGAAAGTCCTCGGCAGGGGCATGCGTCCTGTCCCCGCTGCGTTCCGGTTGATGAATGTCCGGGGAGGCACCGGGGTACTGTCAAGGCTCTGGTGTCGTGGGGGCTTACTGGGCCGCTCGTTAGCCCAATTCGGCTCTCTCTGAGGTGGACTCCCAAACCTGAATGAAGAAGGGATGCTGCAGGTCAGATCCTCAAGTCATCTGGCATGGATTATCAAGACCCCCGAACCTTAACTCCCCTCTGACACTGCCAGAATCAGTAAAAGACTCAAGGCCCTATTTCCCCCATATACCATCACTTAACACAGAGGTGTTGAATGCATTTGCTATGAGGGCTGGATCTGACATAAATGTCACTTTGTCGGGCCGGGCCATGTGTGCCATAAAACGTAATGCCAGGTACCGGATATATAAACTGTATGAAGGACAGCAGCTGCTAAGCTCAGAGTTGGTGTATCCTCACTGCAAGGCCTCATGGGCTGGGAGGGGGGGTGTCCAAAGTGGAACCCACATGGGCGGACTGGAAAGCCAGCGGTGCAGCACTGGACAGATGCTCCCACTCTGCTTGACTGCTGCAGATGAGGTTGAAGCCACAATCCCCCCTGAGCAGTCTCCTGTTCCCTCCCCTGCACTAGTTGCTTGCGGGACACAGAAGAGCCCTGGAGGGGCCTCTTCTGGCCACCGGGCCTTATGTTTGACACCCCCGACTTAACAAGAACACACATACAGCTCACCTTGGTTTGCGCACCCTCCTGGGCTTGATGTCATCAGGGTTGTGGGATGAGCGGATATCATACCCATACAGCGCAATCAGTTCCTGTCTCGTTTTTGGTGCCTGCTCATCTTCTCGGAACTTGTCGTGTTCCCATCGCCCCTCATCTTTCCACAGCTTACGCTGCCGACCCTTGGGACTGGGTGGTCAAAAGGGAAGGAACCAATGATAGTTTTCGAAAAAAAGGAGGAGACTGAAAAGAAGCTATGAAATCTGGACATCTACACTCTCTATCCTTTTGCTAATGAAAAGAAAGCTATGAAAACTGAAAAGAAGCTATGAAAACTGGACATCTACACTCTCTATCCTTTTGCTAATGATTAAAGCAAAACTAAATCCCCGGTCGACATGCCCCACCCCCATTTGTCTCCAGACCAACCCAGCTTCTGATCCCTCCCCCACAGTTTATGCCACCCACCGGACTTCCTCTTCCTGGGTCTGCCCACGGAGGTCATGCTCAAAGAAGAGGCCTTTTCGAGGGATGTATGCAGGATTCTTCCGGTCCTCGTCATCATCCAAATGCTTGGCAACTTTCTTGCCAACTTTGTTCTCAGTTGGTTCGGTACTTTCCTACAGAGAACAAGGGAGCCAAATGTCTCTTAACCTTCCCCTCTACACATGCTCATCGCAAGCATAATCCCCCACTACATGGGTGACGTGATCGAGGTTTACAAAATTATGCATGGGATAGAGAAGGTAGAGAAAGAAATACTTTCCGCCCTTTCTCAATACAAGAACTTGAGGGCACTCAATGAAATTAATGAACAGTAGGCTTAGAACAGAGAAATGGAAGTCCTTCACCCAAAGAGTAATTAACACGTGGAATTCACTACCGCAGGAAGTGGCGGTGGCTACAAGCACAGACAGCTTCAAGAGGAGATTGGCTAAAAAAATGGAGCAGAGGTCCATCAGTGGCTATTAGCCACAAGGGACAGATGGAACACTCTGTCTGGGGCAGTGATGCTCTGCATTCTTGGTGCTTGGGGGACAACAGTGGGAGAGCTTCGGGAGTTCTGGCTCTGCTGGTGGACCTCCTGATGGCACCTGAGTTTTAGTCATTGTGTGACACAGAGGCCGCAGTTCACACAACAAAAATCCAGTTGGAAAGTGCACTGAAAGTGGATTGAAAGTGGATTATTTAGTGAGTGTGACCGCAGCCAGAGAGTTGAACTGGGTGCTCCACTGGCCTGATCCAACATGGCCTCTCTTATGTTCTTCCACAAAAAATGCCACCTTAAAAGGAAACGTCCAACCTTGCACAGACCAAAAACCAATAAAGGATAGGAAATTCACTCTGCAAGAACCAGTCATTGACAGTCCCCTTTCTGATGCCAGACTGGCTGGCCCCAGTCCTCAGAACCTGACACAACTCACTTGTCCATCCCCGCTTTGCCTCTCGCCCGCCACTGTGCCTTTAGGCACTGGTTTTTCACCCCCTTTGTCTGTCTTTGTTGCCAGTCCGTTGGCTTCATTGCTGTCCTGCTTCAGGTCCACTTTAGATGTTTCTTCCTCACTGTATTCCCCCTCCTCGCCCTGAAACAAACATTGAGTTTAGAACAAGCTGACTGAAGTCAGGGACTGAAGAAACATTTTTAATCAGAACTATCCGTATTTGACTATGCCAGTATGATTGCGTTTGCCAGCCTCTGAAGATCTCCAAGGAACAAGCATCCAACTCATACACCTGCAAAGCCAGCCTTGAATATGGGGAGCAGAGGGAAATGTAACACTGCAAAACACAGGACTGCCAACTCTGTGCCCAGAGGCACACAAAATGCCTAGAATGATCTTGTGACCAGTGGCTCAAGCCTATCTGTCTCCTAAGTTGCCCCAACTTCTTGAAGGGCTTTAGAATAGTCAATAAGTTGGTCTGCACTAGGGGTGTGCAAAAAAATAGTATTTTTTGGGTTCGGATATATTGACCGTTCCAGGCCCTAAGGACGCCAGGCTTGCTGCCACCAGGGCCAGGGCCTTTTCAGTGGCGGCTCCATACTGGTGGAATGAGCTCCCAGAAGAGATCAGGGCCCTGCGGAACCTTTCACAGTTCTGCAGGGCCTGCAAGACGGAACTCTTCCACCAGGCTTTCAATTAGGAGCCGCCACATCACCAAACATCTATGGTTACGGGCCAGCTCGGGTCTGGAGAGCATATTACATCATCGTGCCATGCTGAAGATCACTAAGTTGGAAAGAACCATTAGTATGCCATCTCATTTAGCCAAAGATGATACCATCACTAGCACTTTAATTATTGGAGTGTTCTAATGCTTAATGTTTACTGTTAATGTTTATATTTAAATGTTTTAATCTTTGTATATGGTTTTACGGTACTGGGTACTGACTAATGTTAACCGCCCTGAGCCCACTTGCGGGGAGGGCGGGGTATAAATCGAAAAGTGATACATTCACTTGGAAGGCATTTGAAGGGACTGTAGTCTAGGGGAGCAGTGGCACAGGGGATTTATCCTCTGGTTAATACATCTGAGCTGAACAGACCTGCTGTCAGTTCTAGCCCCGTGCTGGTGTGAGCTACCAGCCTTGTCCCCAGCTCGCCATCCACCCAGCGGTTCGAAAGCTTCGGCAAGTAGATAGAATGGGTACCACTCCTTAGAGAGGGTGGGCACACTAAACCCCCCCGGTGGGGGAGGTGTTAGCCGGCGAATGGAATGTCCAGCGTGTAAGACTGAAAAGCCTAGAAAGAACTCTTCGGCATCAAGGAAGCCTGGAATGGGCCGCCCGGCCAGGCGGTGGCAGTGCTGCGCTGCAACTTGAAGCAGTCCGGAGAAAGCTGACGACATCAAGCCACGCCAAGGGAAATATGCCGTTGGAACACGTCTGACCTTTTTTGTTGTTCAGTCACACAGTCGACTCTTCGCGACCCCATGGACCAGCTCCCGCCAGGCCTTCCGGTCTTCCGCCGTCCTCTGACGTTTGCTCAATTTCATGTTCGTTGCATCTATGACACTGTCTAACCATCTCATCCTTTGCCATCCCCGTCTTCTTTGACCTTCAATCTTTTCCAGCATCAGGGTCTTCTCCAGTGAGTGCTCCCTTCTCATTTGGTGGCCAAAGTATTTGAGCTTCAGTTTCATTATCTGGCCTTCCAGGGAACAGTCAGGGTTGATTTCTTTTAGGATTGACTGATTTGATCTTCTTGCAGTCCAAGGGACTCTCAAGAGTCTCCTCCAGCACCATAGTTCAAAAGAATCTATTCTTCGGCACTCGGCCTTCCTTACAGTCCAACTCTCGCAGCCATACATGACTACTGGGAATACCATTGCTTTGACCATGCAAACTTTTGTTGGCAGGGTGATGTCTCTACTTTTTATCATGCTGTTTAGGTTCACCATCGCTTTCCTCCCAAGGAGCAGGCGTCTTTTAATTTCATGGCTGCAGTCACAGTCTGCGGTGATCTGGGATCCCAGGAACGTGAAGTCTGTCACTACTTCCACGACTTCCCCTTCTATTTGCCAAGGAGTGATGTATTTGAGTAACTGTAAATCACTCAGAGCCCCATTCAATATCCAGCTTAAAAGATACTTGAAAAATACCAATAAGGTATTTTTTGGATATATTTTTTTTTGCTCGGATTTAGCCGAATGCTTGCCCCTACTCAGCATGTCAAGATCAACAACATCAACAATTTTATTTTACAGTCAATGACCAGCATACACAAAGGTTTACATAAAATCAAACGATCAAATTTCACAACTTTAAAAATTTCACTCAAGCTACGGTATGCATTTTCCGATCTTTGTACACCTGTGCACAAAATTTAGCCACTATTTGGGTTGTTTCATGGTTCGTATCGGACAGAAGATAATCTAGTTTAATTTTGTTTGATCTGCCAGGGAAATTTTCGAGCAGCGGCTCAATAAATTTTGACCAAATTTCTTTGTGCCTAGGGCAGTTAAAGAAAATATGTTCCATTGAATCAACTTCCTTTAAAGAACAAGAACAGAGCCTAGGCATATAGGGGACTGATTTAAACCTTCCTTCTAGAACAGCGGAAGGTAGAGTTGAACTTCTTGCCAATATAAAGGCCCTTCTGGAATTATTTGATTCAAGGAAATATAAGCATGCAACAGGAGCAGCAACAAATCTTGAATTTGGAGGAGAGATAAAACCTGGAGTTCTATGAATATCAGTTTGTCATTCTGTATCTGTCACTCTTTGTTTAATAAGCAGTTTGGCTTGGTCTGGCCCATGGTTCAAAAGTGCTCGGGGAAATAAACCTAGGTTTCCCTATAGTTCCCAAAACCGCTTTCTGCCAACTGGATTGAAAAGAGTCTTGGAGAGTTAGAGGGAACAACACTTGTCGATTAGTGTTCCCCAACAGCCATTTGTAGATCGATAGCATACAGATTCTTGCTTTGACCCGAATTATTCCAGTCTCTAACCCAGGAGTTTGGTACACATTTGGGTACTTGCAGTATTGCCCTTAAGAATTTAGACTGCACTCTCTCAACATGTCAAGATCATGTGCAAGATGAAATGCCAACAGGCAAACTGATTCCTGAACACACTGAACTCACCTCAGAATCTTCAGCGCTTTCATAGTCAGAGAGAACAGCTAAGAACAAAAGAGAGATGCGACATTAGGAACATCATCTCAACCTCAACGTGTTTAAGATCAAATTTCCTGGTTCCCCCTAGTTGTCTGCTTGCTTAAAATCTGCATCCGCTGACATGAGCCTGCCCCACCCTCCCCACCCAGCATAAACACTCGGTCTTTGACTGCTCCCTTGCTTCAGCTCCCCATGTTCGATTTGCCATCCTGTCACTTCTCCCATGCACAATATTCCCAGAATAAGCATCCATTGCCTTTGCTTCATTCCCAGAATAAGCATCCATTGCCTTTGCTTCATGCTCAAGTAATTTACCAGTTTGATTCCTGCATCATTCTCCTGTCTGGTCTTCGCCTGTTTGCCTCTTTCATAGCTCACACTGCAAGATGCTTTTCCCCAGTTGCCTACGCTGGCTTCCTGCCTGCTCTTCACATCCAGCATGAACTCCTCATCCTTGCCTTCAAAGCCTTCTGTGGTATTGCCCCTTCCCTTGCTTCCCAAGGTGTCCCCTGCCCATGACCCTCACTTCCTGTCGGCCTTGGCTCCCTTAAACAACTGATGTTTCCACCTTGTTTCCTGGAATTGCTGCCAAGAGCACTGTGACGACCTCTTATCTGGGGAGGTCTGGTTTTACTTTAAAATGTTCTTTATGTTTTGTTTTACTGGGTAATCCGGCTGCCACCAGGAAATTTATAAGGCTTTCCAAACCTTTATAATATAATATCTATCACTGGGTAGGTATACTGAGGGTCTAGGCTTTCATGAAGGTCTATGTGGTCTGAGGAATATTCTTTCCAGAGCTGGTATACTTGAATGAAATATAATTTATTTAAATAAAGCATAAATGCGAGGGTAGAACATTGTAAACAGTACTGGGAATGATTTGAATTATTGCT